GCTGCAGCCAAACACACCCTGATTCCAGACGTACAACTGTACAGTCTCACACTCTGATGGACGTATCACATTGCATACACTGGATTAATCCACAATCATTTCAATGTGCATTATGAAGAGCACACACGTGGCCCCCAGATCTGACAGGCCGAGTCGCAGTTTAAAGTATCTAATAAAAGCACACATTTCCCCTTATCTAATGATCTGAAATGAGAACTCACACTGGTACTTGCGTCACATGAACCATGTTGTTTTGCTGCTGGTTATCCATAAAATGATGACAATTAAAGAAGAACTCAATCAATTTTACACATCTGTTTACAGGGTTTGGAAAGTACATCAGCATATGTGAGATACGTTGTAATGAGCCTTTTGTAGGCGCAGAGGGAGCTGCCTGAAATCTGATGAATTTACTCAAGTGATCACTTGAGTCGGCGTCGGTTGGGGCTGAAGACTACGAATCTTCTTAAAGTCTGGGGTGTGTGGAGTAAGAAAGACGTGTGGTTACCAGACCTCTGTAGCGCTACATCTCTGCTTGAGGCTAGCGGCTCGAAGCTACATTAGCCGCTAATCGTGTAACACACACAAATTTCTCACCTAACTGTCGGTGGGCTAGTTGCATTGTGGGAAATGTAGTGTCAATTTTCTTCCTTGTCGAAACCTATGTGGAATAAGTTCTGCTGCATGTTTTCTGATCTTTTTTTCTTAAACTGTACATCGGGAGTCTGAAAATATCATAGGACTACATTGGTAAATCGTTAAAGTATTCTTCTAAATGTCACGACAAATAAAATACCATTGATTAAAAATACAATACTTAAACAATAACAATGAAGTTTCTGATCCGCGACAAAACTTTTATGATCATCCATGATAGCGACCTGTCAATCACAAGGTAGCCCCGCCCTAAAGCATACCCTGCTTTATCGTCTATTTTATTTTAAATGGGACCACAATTTACCAAATAAACATCATGCTGTAGTGAGGAAGACTTGAAACTAGCAATTGAGACATGATGAACTCATGTTTACGATGTTTACTGAAGTGAGAAGTTGGGTAATTTTCTCATAGACTTCTATACAATTCTTTTAGCAACCAGAGGAGTCGCCCGCTGTTGGCTATAAGAAATAATGCAAGTTTAAGGCGCTACAACTTTGGCTTAACTTTTCAGAACCGAAGGTTGCTGCTTGGTTCCACTGCGGTGCATTCATTTGCTGACTCCACTGACGGCATAGCACTGATTGGTTTCCAGGGAATAATTGCTTCATCTCTCATTAACTGGTTCACTTTGAGTATGCAAACAGAACTAGCTCAAATGAGAGCGTGTAGAGAGTGTGGTGGGACTGCTGTCACACAGCAGGACACCCACTTCAATGCAAGTCTCCAACTGGGACATGTGGAGGGCTTAGCTGAGATGAAGCTCGAGGCCCTCTGGGGTTTTTAACCAGCAACAGCTTCAGTTCGCTGAAGCCAAAGACAATTGCTGGACATAGAAGTGTTTGGTCTGTGAGAGGATGAGCAAGAGGCTTTGACTATTGGGGCGAGGCTTTACCAATATGGCAGCTGTTTGGTTTCTCCTACCATCAGGCAGCTGAGAAACTGGAAAATGATGACTATAACTACAACTTTTTCAATAATTCATTCACCGTTTTGGTCATTTTTCCAAAATGTGCAACACAGGCGAACAGCTTTTGGACAAGCAAAAGTGTTCTTATTACTGGAACATGTCATTTCTACAGAAACACAGTATTATCTCTGAACGGCTTGTTTCTAGGTTTATTTCCTGACAGCTACTGCTAAAAGGAAATTGCTAAACACAACAACAGGATATTAGACTCTGAGGCTGAACTAGCAAAGTCAAAATGCCCGGCCATGTGGGACAAAAAGGAAATCAACTTGGGACTCGTTTAGAAATGGAGAGACAATTGGTCTATAAAGGAAAGCAATATTAGACCCAAAACAGTCAGAGCAGTGAAACATCGGGTTGGTGAAAGCAGGGCCCCATTGGATCACTGACCAGCTGTGACCCACAGAGCCCCGATGACAGGCCGCTTGTGCCTTCTGCAGTAGGAAGACCCTCAGCTGCTGCAAGGTCACTTGTAATAAAGGGTTTGTTATTTTAAAACTCCACAAAAATGCTGCCTTATGAGGAAAGAAGTGTGCCACTTCCCTAATATACATTTCAAACTCTGAAGTCCCAAAACTGACATGCAAAATTAAGTATCACAAATCTGGAATTTGAAGCATATTTTGATGCAAATACTACAAGTAACTTTCTTTTTGTGTTGATTTTGGCGGTCCCTGTGGACACAAGTGGCAGTGTTTCTGAGCACCAGAATCCCTTTAGAAAACCTCTCATTTTACTGCAGCATGGTCTGACAGTCTGCTCCGCTCAGTCCTGGTTCTGGTTCTCCTGCGCCTTCTTTTCCTCCAGCGGGCCCTCCAGCAGCGTGGTGTTGACGACCATTAAGAAATAACTAATCTTCTCACTTATCTTGGTCATATAGAGTCGTCGGTATTAAATTGAGACAGTTTATAACCAGTTAAGAGTTCCCTCACAGTAAAATTCTGAATCCAGGAATTTTAATTTTAGACTGTAATACTTTTACTGAAGTAAACGACCAGAATACCTCTTCCACCACTGCTGATATGCAGTGTACATTTCGTGAAAATGTCATCATGACCACACCCTGCTGTTGCCAGGGGACCCTGCGTGCCCCCATCATTGCAGGTTTAATTATAAAGCATCACTGTCAAAGTCTTTCCAGGCGAAAAATTCTTAAGCGTGCGGCTATTCTCAGAGTGCAGAGACAGAGGACAGAATAATGGTAAATGGAGTGTACTTGTACAGCGCTTTGACACTACATGTCATCATTCACCCATCACACCCATTCATACACTGTAGGCGCAGCAACTAGCGGACCCGGGAATTGAACCTCTGATCCTCTGATTGAAGGACGAGCCTGCTCTACCAGACGCCCCGTAATAATACTGCAGTTACAGTTAAAGGTATCCATTTAACAAAGCAGAGTATAAAGGTTCTTCACAGCAAAGGTAATGCTGTGAAAATGCCACACTTGTCTTACTCAAATTCTAGCCTCACTTGACATTGACACTGCGAGTGAAATGCAATATTGGTGAGGAATGTCCCCACACACCTTGGTATTACGATACTTGTGAGGACACTTGCTGACTTTACTGCCACACACGTTTACCGTAACCTCAACGTTAACCTCTCCACGCCAAACCCCTAAGCCCATTCTTACACGTTAACACACAAACGGACGGTGGAGAGTGCTGAAACCTGACTGAGAGCCAGTGTTGATTTGCAACACTGCCAACATCTTGACCAGCCCACGTGAGGTAACTGGACACGGTGCGGCCATCGTTTGCCAATAAATAGATTGCGGCAGCTACTGCAACATGGAAGTTACAGATCCTACGACAGCTTTGAAACCTGACTGGGACCAGTTTAGACAGCTATAAGAGCGTTACGGTTTCGATAACACCAACAGGAAGTGACTTGATTCAAGTGGTTTGTCTGCCGAAACACAATCGAAACGTATATTCTAGAATAAAAACGGTGAAAGCCTGAGCTTTACAAAATAGTGCTGGCTCTACGAATTCCACGCAATGCACACTGCTCGCCCCTTTCATGTGCAGTGTCCTGCACTGACAATTACACACAGGCATGCAGTAGCCCACGCAGTGTCACTAACAGCGGGAGGCACCTGCTTTGCAGGGTAATTTATTAAAGGACTAGTGTCTATGATTGGATTTCTGCGACATGCCAATAGCGTAACCTGCTCCCATAGTGGGCATCTCAGGAGGAGGGAGGGGGGGTGAAAAAGGTTGCCTGCCAATACGGATCCTGAAGTAAGCTCTACTCTCGAGAGGTTTGCAACTCTCAGATACACTGCTGCTAATGTTTTTTAAAGAAAGCCTTGTTCCTTTTCCAGCTTACAAATTGCAGCGGTTGTTATGTGATGTGCATGAGGAATGCCTGCATGCTGCAAGTTTAACGGCCAGACGTGACAGCAAAAAGCTGCTCACCACTCAAATGCCTAACATGGTGTTATTTATTCATATTATTTTCTATTTATTTTTTCAAGATGTTCATGGGCCCAACAGTTTGAGAAGCTCCCTGAAATAAATTGGGCCCCGCCGTGATGCTGACACTTATTGTGTTCTCAGATATTAAAGTGAAGGTTTGTGAGTGTCCCACTTCTGAGAAATCTAGATAATACAAACTACATCTTCATCTTACATGCCAGCAGTCTGCCAACTATCTGCCCTCTGAGCACTCAGAGGTGGGGCGTTGGTTCACTCTCAAGTAGCCCTTCATGCCAGTGTTTATAGGCCTTTTTATTTACACCCGTTGAGTCTTTATATAGTTTCTTTGGGGAATCATCAAGTCCTGGAGCGGGAGAGGTAACAATCGGCCTTTCGTTTTTTCCATGGAAGCTAGTTTTCCCTTATAAGTGAAAGAAGGAATCAACCTCTCACTGAGCGTAAATACAAACTGCACAAACAGCTTCTAAATAGTGTCCGATTGCTCGTAAACATTGCAGCTCATTTAAGTGTTTGAGGAAAAAGCGATTCAGACATTTACGTCACGGAAAACCACGGAGCCAGAGCTTTGGCCAGCGTCCTCTATCCTGAGCAACTACAAAACATTTCCACTACAGAACAACTCAAGTCACAGTGTGACTCCTGCTCTCTCTGGTGAGATTATGTCAAAAGGTGCGTTTCACACTCCGTCCCCACCCAACCTTCCTTTGCGGTGTAGGGAATGCAGCACACCCCCTTTAACATGTACTTTGAGTGTGAGCTTCACATCCACATGTGAAGCACAGCCACCACATTCCCGAACAAAGATTATTTGCTATAACTTAGTGCACCCTGTGATGAAGATAGTAAAGCTCTCTCTCACACACACACACACACACACACACACACACACACACACAGACACACACCACGCAGCTCTCAGTGTTCACCTGGTAGATGAGGACTTTGAAGTTGCGTCTCTTGAGCAGCTCGTTCTCGTTGCTCTCCAGCTTCTTGATCTGGCCCGCCTGCTTCTCCAGGTTGCTGCGCACCGTCTTGACGTTGACGCTGACCTTGCGCACCTTGTCCAGCATTTTGTTGACAGTGTTGGCCGTGCCGACGTGGTTCTTGGACAACTTCGCCAGCTCCCCTTGGATGGATGACACCGACTTCTCCATGGCCTCCTGCCGGGCCTCGAGCCCGTTCTGGGTCTGCTGGATCTGGTCCACCACCCCGATGATCTTGTCCAGCAGAGAGAGCACCATGACCCCGTTCATCTGCGCCTCACTCTTGCCGCCGGGGCCGGTGGCAAGCACCAGGTCCGCCTCATCGGCAGGGTCATCTACAGGGTCGTCTACTGCCGGCTCTGTGGCGGCATCCACCAGGGCGACCTCGTCGTCATCATAAGGCACTTCTGCTAGGGTTGCGTGCTCCTTCTTGACACCTGTATCCGCCATGGCTGTCAGCTCTAAATACAAACCGCCTGCACACTCACTGCAGATAAAAATATACTACTGAAAAACAACCCGCAGGAGCCCCGCTGCACAGCACTCAGTCCCTAATTCTTTCTTGTTACTTTCAGACAACTTTCTAAACCTCTTCCTTTCCCCTCTTCTACTTCACGCTTAAACTTTCTCTTCACCCTCAGTCTCACGCTCTGAGCCTTCTCTGTCTCTCTCTCTGCCTCTGCTCCGGGATGCCAGCCAGCCAAGGGGAGTAGGGCCTCTCACAGCTGAGGCATGTGTGCCCTGACTCAAATGCCTCTGCTCCCTGTGAAACCACCCAGTCAAAAGTTTTCCCTTCTTCCACCCGGCCCCCCCTGCTGCCGGGGGCTCCGCCCAATCTGTCCCCAAGCTCAGGGAGGCATACCTCTACCAGACTCCACCTCGTAAGCTTTGTTTGTACTCGCGCGAGACAGCGTGGCGCGGGCCCTTTGTAGATGGCTCACACGCTGTGAGCATGCACGGAGGCGTTTATGCTAAAAGCGCTGTTTGTTGCAGTACTCTACGGAGCGCTAGGAGACGGACAAACACAATGTGCCGCGAAGAAGCGAGAAGAGCGGCAAAGCGACAAAACAAACTACAATGCTGAGGACGAATTGTAAGAAGTGTGAAGTCATATCTTATATTCATGGTTACTTTATTGCCTTTATACAAGCCCTGGGAAGACAGAACTCAAGTATTACATGTATTATAATGAAACAAACGTTGAATATTGATTTTGGTGGAAATATTTACTCAAATCTAGATTTTAAAGGTCTCATGATTATAAAGCAAAATTTAGACGCACACGTCCAAGCACCAACTCGCGGAGCCTCTGTGCGCAAGCACTATAAAAGCTGAGACTTCACAGATTCCCACAATATATGTCTCATCACTTTACAAACAAAACTTACTGAACTAGCAGCTGGAGAAGAGAAACAATTAACCTCACTTTATTCAGCCATATTCATAAGTGATGTCTTACTTCTGCTGTTTGGTGAGTTGATTCCAGTCGTCTGTATTCATCTGCATTGGAGGAGCACTTGCACTCTGCCTTCCTCCAGCATCGAACGGTCCGTGCTTCAGCTTTCCATGTATAAACACGGCCCATGTCTCCACCTGGTGGATGAATGAGGTCACTGCACTCATTACAAAGGCATTGAGCTTCAATACAGCGTCCACATGCAAATAAGCTTTCTTTGAATCAAAACAAAGCCAAAACAGTTGTACTGAGATGGAATTAATACCTATAGTGAATTGTTTCATATCCAGTCACTTCTCTAAGGGGAACTATGGTGGATATCGACTTCATCAGACTGCCCAAAAATGAAATCAAAATATTATATAGAGCACCACAGGCACTTATCACTAGAAGTGTAGAGAGACTCTGTTTGCTTGTGTGTATCATCATTGACTGTTGAATTTTCATTTGTTCATTTGTTAGATAATGAATAGACGGTATTACTAACATACATTAAAGCAATAATTGGAGGCCTATCACAAGGATGGGAAGACCTTATCCAGAAAAGTGTTGAACCACAACCCAGTGAGCTACAACCAGCTAGCATAACGTCAACCGCTGTCAAGGTTACGTATAGTTGTTGTGTTAAATAACAAATTATCGTCAATTTAAAATAATTCGATTGAAATTGACTTCCTGTGACGACGTGTGGCTACTGTATTTATCCAATAAGTTAGCCACCTGCTACACTCTAATGAGGGCGACACATTCCTGCTGCAGCTTCAACACACTCAATGTCATCACCCGCGCTTTCACGTTAACCACCACTGCTTTGAGCCATTTGAGTCTGGCTTGGTTTATATTTTCTCCAGTTATCCCAAATAAATCTGAAAGGGACGGCCTGCAGTATGCTTCTTGATGCCGGCATTATTTTTGACTACCTATAAACAAATGCCAATAACTGGAAAAGTGGTTTTCCTCATGGTTTCTGTACATACTGAGCTGCAAACCACAACTTATTGTGCTCTATGGCAGTATCAGTGCCCCCTGTTGTCCATTAGTTTTCTCTGCGCCCTAGCCGTAGCCAAATGGCAAATGCCATGAAAAAATTAAAATTGACAAATGCAAAAAGTACAAAAAATTAAATAAAAAATATCTATATACATCTATTCCATTTATGCATTTCAATATTCAATTCTGATTCCCTTTTCATATTTCTATTGCTCTTTACAATTTTAAATGATCATTTTCAATTTTGTTTTTCTTTTCGGTCTAATTATGGTCTGATTATTATAGTAGTGTAGTGAAATTTAAATTGTCTATTTATGAGCAAAGTACCCCCTACATTATTAAGGAATGCTATGTCCAGTAGGAGGCAGTAACGAGGCGTTAAGGCAGTAAACTGCTGTAAAACCTCAAAGACAGTAGAAGAAGAAGAAGAAGAAGAGGCGCTGTCAGCTGTGAGGTACCGACCACCACCAGTCCACAACAAACAGCACAGGAAACCAGGAAGGAAACCAAGGAGGAGAGAGACTGAAGCTCCGCTTTAACAGTAAGAACACTGTTGTTTATTCATACGGCAAATTAATTACATAAACTCCTCCAGCGTTGGTGTTGTTATTAATGTGGGCTACGTCAAATATTGATCAACAGGTGCGCTAAGTTAGCGTTAGCTCTCTTCTTCGCCCCACATTCTCTTTTAACTGAGACAGGTTAACAGTAATATAAGTGAGATAACTGACAACATGATGTCAGAATAAGTAAATATTAACCCCTGCTATTACTTTTCTGTTGTATAATGTCATCGTGTTCTTAAATTGCACTTTAACTAATGCTTGCTAATCTAACTAGCACCCGTCAACTAGCTACTGTTCTCTTTGCTAACTTTCAATACCGTTGACGCTAATGATTTAGTCTGTGATTGTGTGTCTATGCTAAATTATTGCATCACGTGATGTTAATAGTTGTAGGATCGCTGCCCTGTTAGATGTGACAGTGTCGTGTTAATGTTGGTTAGCCATTAACTGTAACTATCGGACTGGGTAACGTCGCTAAACTAGTTACAAAAAGGGTTTGATACCCGGTCTGTTAATCGATGACATAGATACGGATAGTCTTAGCTGTGAATCGTTAGTTTTGTCAGGTTTCGTGGTGTTATTTAAACCTGTTTTGCTGTGTTAACGCTGAACCAGTGGATGTGCCCTTTGCTTTGAGGCAGTGTGAGAAGTGAGGCTTACGAGAGCTGCTGGTCACGTGATGCCTTGTAATCCACAGATAAGCCCTGTGGTGGTTCTGCAGCACGAAGCTGTGCTGGTTAGCTAGTCTGAGAAAACCTTCACCTTTTAGTGTCAAATGACAACTATTGCGTAAACCGCATTCCAACGAGATTAACTATTAATCTTTAACTTGTATTCACAATGGAAATTATATATCAAATTTTACATCCCTTAATTGCGATGGTTCACTTTGTGAGTGTAACAACATTCCTTCACCTATCATGAGATCAGCACGAGGGGCAAGCTGGTTTATTTTTCTCTTTTTGTCACACTTGTGCTAAACTAACACCGAGCTGACGTAGGCCTCCCTCATTAGTGGTCTTGACACCAGGGTGCCATGCAGAGAAACGTGTAGAATGTGGATCTTCTCCGATCCCTCACGTCTCGCCGACTAATCGCCCGTATATATCGATGTTCAGTTTCCAGAGGTTCCCGTTTGGTTCTAAGGGGTGCAGAGCGCTCCCATCCTTCAGCAACATGGGGGAACTCTTCAGAAGTGAGGAGATGACGCTGGCTCAGCTCTTCCTCCAGTCAGAGGCCGCCTACTGTTGTGTCAGCGAGCTGGGCGAGATCGGGATGGTGCAGTTCCGTGACGTAAGTCTACTGTTGCTCTGCTGTCCTCTGAATCCTGATTGCTTTTATTATCTGCCGTTTTCATGCTTGGAAGTCAGCGTTGTGTTCAAAAAACAACAAAAAAAAACGACCCCGTCAGTGATGTTCGCTGAGCAAGTGCATGCCTTCAGCGTCGTGTTCATCATGTGCTCACAGCTGACCCGCTCATTCCACACATGAGGAAGCCCATTCCTGACGAGCCCTGAGGGAAGCTTTGTGCTAGAATATAGGATGGGCTGGAACAGAGTAGGTCTGTGCACCACCAGTGGCATCTTAACAATTTCATCGGATTACACTTCATAAAAGACTATATTATTGATAAGGTAGTCAATGGATAAGTAAGCAGAATTTGAGCACATCATTCAATAATTGATATTGGAGCAGCTTGGGTTGCTGATGTAAGTGTGTGTTCTTTGTAAACATCCATGTACTGGTGTGTGACCCTCACTTGTGTTTTTATTTTTTTGTGCAGCTAAATCCTGATGTGAATGTGTTCCAACGGAAGTTTGTCAATGAAGTACGACGATGTGAGGAGATGGATCGCAAACTGAGTAAGTGAGCTCACAAATGTCCTCCACTGCCATCACCGGAGCCCTGTGTGGAAATAAATGCTGCTGCTCAGTCTCCTTAACCACACAAGACTTTTTAAGGATTGTATTTTCCACCCTGTATGCGTCTTTTTTTTATTTTTATCCTTGTTACTTCTTTCTCGCAGGATTCGTGGAGAAAGAAATAAAGAAGGCCAACATCCCGATGGTTGACACAGGAGAGAACCCGGAAGTCCCTGTCCCAAGAGACATGATCGACCTGGAGGTGATCTCTCTCTCTTTCTTTCTTTCTTTCTTTCTCTCTCTCTCTCTCTCTCTCTCCCCCCCACCCCCCCCCCCCCCCTTAAAGATAAACAGTGAGCTCTCTCTGCGCATCCTTCTGCTGACCCCTCTGTATGTCTCAACGCAGGCCACGTTTGAGAAGCTCGAGAATGAGCTGAAGGAAATCAACACCAACCAAGAAGCCCTGAAGAAGAACTTCCTGGAGCTGACCGAGCTCAAGCACATCCTGCGTCGCACGCAGCAGTTTTTTGACGAGGTCAGCTTGACTTGTGCACGTCGGCCTCGTAAAGAGAAGTTGTGCTTTTATTTTTAGAATTGTTAATCGCCACTATTGTAACATCTAAAACTGCCAAATACATCTTGGGAAACTATTTCATATTACTACTACTTACTAATGTATTAGTCTAAAGGCAGACACTTCTGGTTTGCTTTGGTGTAATTCAGATTCTGCTGAAAAGCTGTCTGCTATGATCTCGCACACACACACACACACACACGCACAATGGAGCATTTATTGCTGCTTAGTTGCTCACATGGTCTTGGCTCATTTACACTAGCCAGTCACATTAGTTAATAAGCTGTAATTCCACTGCTGTATAATACTTTTTTCTTTTTTTAAATTAATTTTCCGGAGCAAAGCCTCGCCTGCCCACCTTTGCCCAACATCAATTCCACATGATTGCCTTCACATGTAAAACTGTGTTGACACACAACGCTAAGTCATCTTTTACAAGTTGTTGTGGGCTTTAATTGAGGTGAATCATTGAGCCAAAAACACAGCTGTTTATTCATTAACTGGAGAAAAGTCACCGTCTATGCTGAAAAACAAACACTGGCTCTTTGCTGTTCTCCTGTCCAAATCTCAACATTCATGTGAAAATGAACCGACTCTCATGCAGATGGAGGATCCCAGTTTACTGGACGATTCCAACACCCTCTTGGACCCCAATGAGCCCCACCGAATAGCTCCGCTCAGACTGGGGTGAGTCTGCTTTTTCTCTTCCCTCATTCAAAAGGATTAAGGAGATTTCTGTTCTCTGCACTTCTGCCGTCTGTGTATTAAAAACAACAACCAGCCAATCACCTCGCACACACTGGCTCAGGCTGCCCAGCTTAATCAGGCAACACAGGTCCCTTAAATCTACTCGCAATGCACATTCACAGATGTGATTTATTAAAGTGGAGACATTTCAGTCCGTGTTATCACGGAGAGCAGCTCTTCCTTAAGACGGAGCTGAAGAATAGACGCACAAAACATGGCCATCCGGTCTCACTGAAAGGCACTTATAGAAGAGGTTTTTTTAAATCTTTTGTCGAGCAAGTAATTCAGGTTGCTTATCATTCACATAAGGCCTATTCCAGAAGCAATGACCCAGGCTTTAAAACATAAGAAAGGATCTATGTACGGTATATGAAATATAGAAATAAAATAGGAGACATTGTTAGCATTTGATAATTATAGCTTTTCTGTAATTCAACTGTGACCGAAGCTTTCTCTCTGTTCTAGATTTGTGGCTGGAGTCATTGGCAGGGAACGCATTCCCACCTTCGAGAGGATGCTGTGGAGGGTTTGCCGAGGAAACGTGTTCCTGAGGCAGGCGGACATTGAAGATCCTCTGGAGGACCCAACTACGGTCAGTACTGTCTCGGCACCGATGTCTTGTGAAAGTGGGTCGGACGCTAACGCCGGTTTCAGTGATTTATTAAGTCCTGATGTTCCCACAGAGCGACCAGGTCCACAAGTCGGTCTTCATCATCTTCTTCCAGGGAGACCAGCTCAAGAATCGGGTCAAGAAGATCTGCGAGGGGTACGTGACTCGCCAACGTTGAGCGCACTTTTAGGAAGTGTTCTCGGCCAACGGATCCTTTTTTTTTTAAATTTCTTTTTTTTATAAGCGCTTCTTTTTCATCCGTCTTCAGGTTCAGAGCAACCTTGTACCCGTGTCCAGAAACATCCCAGGAGAGGAGAGAGATGCTGGCAGGGGTGAACGCACGCATTGATGACCTGCAAATGGTAAAAAAAAGGGAAAACAGCTACACAATGTCGACTCATTTAACACAGGAAAAAAATACACTTGAATCAGTTACTTCCCTCTTCTTTGTTTCTGCCTCATCAGCAAAAGAGTTCTTTAGAAATCCACTGGAAAGCGTCTGTAGAGGAAATTTCACAAGACGTCTAACACATACACGCTCAACCATTTATTCTCTTGTCTTGACTCGAAGCCAGATTTACAAGACGTACATTTTCATTCAGGTTGCACGAGTGACGGCTCATAGAGTTCACGTACACGATGAGATGTGGAAGGCAATCACAACTGCTCTTGTCACTCTAATGACAGATACTATGTGCTTTGCCAATCGCGTTGATAACATCTGTTTCCCTCCAACTTCTTTTTAATACAGGTACGACACGACTTCAGAAATCATCGCATCCTCCTTCCTTTAGCTTTGCAAATTTCACCAAATTCACGTGATGATACGTCTGCCCATATGGGTGTTTTACATCATGTCACACGCACACAACCCACACATCACAGAGATCACATTTGTTGTACTCGCTGCAGTCTGTTAGAAGTAAATCTCTCGCATGTTACAGTCTCACGGCTTCACCGTCCGGGGAATGTGGATTGTTTTGTTTAGCTGGTCGCTACGTGGGCATGAGGGGCTGAATGAGGAATACTATTCGGACAGCAGTCAGCTATGGGTGGGCCATTAAGCCTCTCGACAGCAGGCGAGACTGCGCCTGTAGGCGGAGAGTGCAGAGCTTAGATATCCTGCTATTTGCTGATCATGGGACTCGGCTTTAAATGTGAGTCATACAGCAGCATACCTGGGAATATCTTGCATCTCTTTCGGGAACACCTAATGGATTAGACAGCCTGTTGCTCTTTAACATGGGACTCACTGCTCACACCATTAAATGGGAATGTATGATGAATGTTTGCTATGTTTAGCAGCCTTTTCTGATTCATGGACATTATTATTCACATAGCTTTGACTTTGTATAGATGGATTTACGGATGAGAAATGTCTTTTCATAGCATTTTAGTTCTAATAGTACAGTGGGTAAACATTAAGTTTGTCATTCCTGATGAAGAGAATAATGGCTTTCTCGTCCTCAGATCCGCTTGTAGTTCATAGAAAAGCTCAGGGTTCACCAAAATGGCAGGAAAAGGTGTTTCTTTTTGTCTCGACATTTTTGGCGCCAACTGAACTGTAAAGATGATGTTGATCTTTCCGCAGATTTTATTTTGTTATTAACCAGAAAAGCCTCAATGAGATTCAAAATCTATTTTTAAATGGCCAAGATAGGCAGCAATGACTGTGACAGACGTGAGACGGATGTCAGACAAATATCACTTCTAATACAGTCATATCGATATATGATTTCATTCCGACCAACGGCCACCTCTACTCTTGCCTCCCTCCGAAGGTGCTGAACCAGACCGAGGATCACAGGCAGCGGGTCCTGCAAGCTGCGGCTAAGACGGTCCGAGTGTGGTTCATCAAGGTGAGGAAGATGAAGGCCGTCTACCACACCCTCAACCTCTGCAACATCGACGTCACTCAGAAGTGTCTGATCGCTGAGGTGTGGTGTCCCGTCTCTGACATGGACTCCATCCAGTTTGCTCTGCGCAGGGGGACGGTGAGTAACTGAGTTTAAGGAAAGTACTCGCCATTTAGTTCAGATCTGACGACGCCGTCAGACAAGACCTCCCTTTTTATTCTTAGAAAGTAGCTCAAGTTCACCTGGTCGTGTATTCAATGCAGCAGAGCCGTGGTTTGAAACACACAAAGGTCTGAACTATGTCAGTGCAGACGGGGTGTTTGCAGTATACTCAAGCTTTTGTGTGTACTCAAATACAAATTATTCAAGGTGACAACTGTGGTGTATTTATTCAGCTGTGCAATCCCAAATGGTCATGGTGACGGCATACACCTCGCGCAAGTTTCGGTTGCACTGCACTTGTAGTTCAGGTCTTTGAAAGAAAAACCGAGCGTGTGTCGTCGTCCTGTGTTACATGACACTGTGTTCTGCGCTTTAGGAGAAGAGCGGCTCCACCGTGCCTTCCATCCTCAATAGGATGCAGTCTAAGCAGACCCCACCTACCTTTAACAAGACGAACAAGTTCACCTCCGGCTTCCAAAACATTGTGGACGCCTATGGAATCGGCAACTACCGTGAGATTAACCCAGGTAAGGGCACATGTCGCACCTTTTCCTCTGTCTGTCATTACCTGTCAGCGTTGTCATGTATCTGTCAAGGCAGTTTTTCTATTTAAAAGTCAGTTTACCCAGCTGCCTGAGGCATTAAACGTAACTTAAAAGGCATGCTGCCGACGCTGCCTCATCACCCGTCATCATTGCCGTTTATCGTGTCACTCTTGTGTTGTTTCATCTGCCGCACTGCCCCCCCCCCCCCCCCCCCCCCCCCCCCCCCCCCCCCCCCCC